GGAAGTAGATTGCCCAACCTTTCTTCCGAGGAGTGGCTGGTGGGTTTGAACCATCAGCCTTCTGGTTACCAGTCAAGTACCTTAGGCACTACACTACCAGAGCTCCTACAAGGCATTGTTGTTGTTGTTGTTGTTATGTGCCGTTGAGTCAGCCCCGACTCATAGCAACCTCTCCTTGGGTTGCCAAGGCAGTATCACTATGGTAGATTGCCCAATCTTCCTTCCGAGGAGTAGCTGGTGGGTTTGAACCACCAGCCTTCTGGTTAGCAGACAAATGCCTTAGGTACTATGCTACTAGAGCTCCTAGGTATATAGTAATATATTATGGCAAATATCTAAAGTATTTTTAAGATTAATGAATATATACAGATACTTACACACTAAAATAAAACTTTCATGTGCATTTAAGGGAACAGAGTATGAAAAATAAAACTAACTTTATAATTAATTCCAAACAACCCTAGAAAAAGTAACTGGTTTAAAGAACTTTCATCAATATTGTAGCATGCTTGATTTGAAGAATAAAATCTTTAAATTTGAGTATTTACTCCTTTAGGATCTCCCCTAGATTACTATGGGGAACAGCTAATCAAAACAGAAATTATAGGTTTCCACAAATATTAAACACATTTTCTTTGCATCTTTTAACTTACAGATGCTTTATGGTAGTTTTCAGTAAATATATTTTTTTCCCAGTTGCCATCTAATTAATTCCCACCCATGGCGTCCCCATGAGTGCCAGAATAGAACTGTGCTTCACAAGGCTTCCAATGTCTGATTTTTCAAAGAGATATCACCAGGTGTTTTTTCCAAGGTGCCTCTGGGTAGACTCAAACCTCCTTCAGGTAGCAGCAAAGTACAATGAACTTTAGTGCCACAGCCAGGTATTCCAAATATAATATATTAACTCAAACCAGATGTTAAAGCCTTGTTCAGTGGACATTTACCCCAGAGAGCCTTCACTAACAAATCTTGGTTGTCCTCTGACCAACCCTGATTATCTTTGTCTCTTTCCAAAATTAACTGCTCTATCAGCATATAATACAGGATTCCTTATTAGCTAAGTATTCAAACACTGTAGTTGCAAAATTGCAAAAGAAAAAAGTAAGCAAGCACATGGGATCACAATGAGTCAGAAGTGACTTGACAGCAATGGATCTGGTTTTGCTTTTTTATAGAACTACATTTATGAAATATCCCTCCACAAGTAAATCTACTACTTATATGTTAATGTTATGATAATTAATCTCTTTAATTATCAGAGGTACTAAATAACTAACAGTACAATGAATATCAAAAGCAAAGTGAATTTATAAAGTCCTGGAAAAATGTAACATTTCACAAAGGTGGTGAAAGTGATACAGGAGAACTGCTCAAATCCCAGGCAAAGCCATCAGTGATAAATGAGGAGCTCAAAGAGTTAGAGCAATTACCAGTAAAAGAAGAGTAAAACAACAAAAAATGATAACCTGCGAACTATTTCAAAAACTGTTATTTGAGTATCAAAAGAATTAGAGAGGTTTCTAGAAAAGTGATGAAGCCCCTAAATATTTTTCTAACAATAACCTCTCTTTATAATCATGCTACAGAAATCTAACTTAAAAGTGTTACCATACTATGTGGTCAGACAAATATATCAAAATGAATTGATACTAGATTTGGTCTTTTTTTTTAAGTATGAGTGCATATTTATTCATATGCCAAATTTGGTTTACTCTGAGGTAAGTTTACTTTCGCATATTTGCTTTAATTTTTAAGACAAAAATCCAAACGAATCTTTAGTTCATTATCTACCATGAAACGCTGGATTCACTTGAAGATTCTCTGGTATTTCTGCTGCTATGTTAATTAGAACTCATTAAAATTTTTCGATATACCTGTCTATCCCTGTGGCCTATACAGTGCTTGAGAATAGATGCTACATCATTCCTATAACAAGTGAACACTCCAAACACTCAATAAATTGAACTGAATTGAGAAGTACATTATTTGTAATTAATAATTTTTAAATGGGTCTACTGTCCCAAATCCAATAAGTAAATAATATACACGCAATACTTTAAATCATCCAACTTGATATTTGAAATAGTCTCAGGTTTTAATTAGATTTTAAATGCTTTGCTTATGTTCAAAAACAGATTATTTTTTAAATTATACCTTTATACAAAGAAAAGCATTTAACAGAGGTCCATAGAGAGTTATGTGGGAATCTGGAGAAAGTTCCATTTCTACATGGAGTTTATCAGGTGGAAGCTCTGAAGGATCAATAGGTGGGCGTGAAGAAGTAGAGGGAGAAGAAACAGCTCTGTCTGTTGTTTTCTGAGATGGTCTTAGTACAGATAGCATTGTTTCTTCCATTTCTGATACTGGAAGAAATTGAAAAGAAAAATAAAAAGATTAATGGTATTTGGGCAAAGGTGAAAAGTAACTCTCAGAAGTTCTTCAAGGAAATATTCACTAACAAATCATATTTTGCACATATGAATGTAACAATCCTGATGCTATTTGTATACCATATAAAGAAAACAGACCCAGAAGCTAATCATTAAAAAAGCAAATAAGAACAGATGTTATATAAATATGTACAGAAATACATGAATCAGATTGTACAGAATCAGTGAACAGTTCTTGTCAACATAAGCAACAAATATTTTTACTGAGTACCTACAGTATAAATCTCGCTCACAATTAGGCATTTACTATACTTGGGCATTAAACTACAAAGTTATTTTTATATAAACAGCTATTCAAATACAACATGACATTATCAAGAGCCACCAAGTGGCTTTAAGTGGGTTTATTATTACTATAAACAATAATGAAAACTATTATTTGAAACTTAACTCATTGAATAAACAGAAAGAAATTCTCACTGACTCTAGTTCCCTTTTGGACACAGGTAATAAAATCAAATTACCTTCAATGAACTCTAAATTATATAATAATAATTGTTAAAATGCATTGAAGAACTTAGTACTTCACAACATCAATCACTTTAACTACACAGATTTATCTAGACCTTATTTTATATTCTACTTTTGCAGCTTCTAGCATAGTAGCCTTTGAGAAAAGTATTTACCCATATTTTTCAACTCTAAAATGAGAAGAATAATATCTATCTCATCCAGTTACTGTAAAGATTAAATGAAATAATTTAAATTTGAAAACTGCTTGGCCCAGTATTTGATAGATAGTAAAGGCACAATAAAAGTTAGCTATAATTATAACAGAATCTTTACAAGTGTGTATAAATACATATAATTATGTCAGATGATTATCAATCAAGATGAGCTGTTTCACAGTAAAATTATATAATAATACTTACATGATTGTTTTAGCTGTTCATCAGCTTTCTGTGGATAAATTGGATGCCATGTATAATCAATTGTCAACAGCACACTTGGGACAGTCCAGCATTCAACCCAACCAGCCCTTTAAGAGGAAACAACAAAGTTTCTAGTACTTGTTCCTTTAATTGTATAGATGTCAATTACAGATAACCAAATTTTGTTACTACTCTTTAAAGCAATAAAAATAATTTATCCCCATATAAATACAAAATACTTAGGTCACTAATTTTGTATGACTCACTTTTCTTGAGTAATATTCCGCCATTTTGGTTTAACTGTTTTCTGGCCACTTTGACATTCAGCAGGAATACCAGTATCATGAGGCATTTTATTTGGGTGGCAATTTTTTACCAGCATAAATAATGAATATTTACTGGGGTGGCAATCTGGTAGAAACAAATGAAGATCAACATCTTCTCCCTAAAAAAAATAATTTATAATAACCAAAACTAATAAAACAGGTACATAAATGTTAAGATACTATTTACAGCAAAAAATATCTGTAACAATGTTGAAAATAAACACAACTTTCAACTAGAAGATTTTATTTACAATGGTAAATAACTGGAAAAGGATTTTACATTCATTAAAACTAAATTCAGATAGAAAAATAAAGAAAAGAGAAAGCTGGAAAAGAAATAGCACAGTTTCTACTCACAGGGAAAAATAAAAAGGCCTATTTCACAAGTACCTCATTAAAAGATAAAAAAAAAAAAAATTGCTCATCAATATAAGCTCAGGTGGGTGGGAATTGTTTTCTTTTTTTTCTCTTCTAATTTTTAAAAGTACTGTCTTCTTTGATTCTAGTAAGACTTCATTCCAGAACTGGCTTTTAATAATGTAAAATTAACACATGTAAGGATCTTCATTTGGTTTCAATTTCTTCCTTAAAGGTCCTCTAATTCTTTGTTCATCTTAACGCCTGGTTTCTTATCAGGAGGCAGAGTACAGTGGTTAAAAGAAGGGATCCCTAAGCTATATTGCCTGGTTTCAAATTCCAATTTGGCCACTCACAAGCTCCGTGACAAGTCACTTAAACTCTGTTCCTTGGTTTCCTAATCTGTAGATGCAGATAATAATAACCATCTCAAGAACATTGTGCTGAGGAGTTTCAGTAAGATGGCAGAATAAGCAGAGAGACTGCACAGACCCTCTTCAACAAAGAAAAGGGGAACCAATTAACACAGATACAGGAGATAATCCTGGATCCCTGAGCCTTGAAGGGAAGGATATAGAAGTGGACAAACTCCAACTAGCAGAAGAATTTTCATAAAAACACCTAAAAAGGAGACATACTGGGCTGTGGTCTGGCAGTGATCCTGATGGCACAGACAGCTTGGATATTGCCTAGTGGTGATAGGACCTAAGAATTAACCTAAAAATCAGCCCTGTTACCCAGGGACTGCACAGAGGACTGCTATGGTGGCTGGGGAATAAGAGGGGAAGCAGTGAAGAGGAAGGTGGGCTAAGCTGTGGACTTTTGCCTGTCCGGAGGGCACAGCCATTTTGAATGTTTACAAGTGGGTTGACCATTCCGGATATTTACAACAACAGCATTCTCCCAGATTCCAGGGACTTAAGAACAGGCCCAACTTGCCGGGAACCCCAAGGACATTCCGGACCCAGATGATGGAAAGGTGCAACATTACCCATGTTACTCTTATACTCCACACCCTCTTGGTGAATGGAAGTGCAGCTATCCCTCACTCCCACCCACGTTCTGGGCCGGCAGGAATTCCATCCCAGTCAGTGTGCTCAGACAAGCCTGGGTGCCCTGATATTCCCTACACTGATTTTTGTTTTTCTTTATCTCTTTTTAAGTTTGTTTGTTTTAAAACTAATATTATTATTATTACTTTTGTTATTTTTACTATTATTCTTTATTCTTCCCCTCCCAGGTTTTAGTTTTCAACTTTATTTCTTTTCCCTGTTGCTGATTGCAATTTAATTTTCTTTCTCGTAGTTAACCCAGTTCATTGTTTTTCTCTTTGAATTTTTTCCATTTTTTTCTTCATTATTCTCCTTCTCTACCGTTTTTCTCTTATTGCCACCTCCCCAAATATTGCAGGCTTTTTTTTTTCTTCTTTTTTGCTTTTTTCTTTTTGTGGTGACTGTCCTGTGTGATCACGTGGTGTATTTTTTGTCCATTTGCTTTTTTTTTTGTTTTGATGGTTATTCAATTGTTATTTTTGTCTAACTGAGTGGAAGACACCAACACTCCCCATATGACACAACTACACCCACACCTCCTGCAGCTTAACTTACCGAGTAAGAGCCAACACGTCCTTCTCCACCAATGGGCCAATGATAAACCACCACCAAGAAAAGCATAAGAGCATGACTCACCCTTGGCTGCTCTTCACAAACAGTTAACAGAGATATAAATATAATAACAACACCATGATGTATCGGAGACAAGAGATCATCACAGTCCACACAAAGAAGCAAGATAAAGTGGTAGAAACAAGGGAGCAGGATACAGACCCAGAACACATCCTGAGGAAGAAACAGCATTGGAACTCTCTGATAAGGAATTAAAAAGAATTCTATTTAGGTATCTTCAAAGGATTGAAAGACAGAGCAAGGAAAACACAGACAAAACTCTAGAATAATTCTGGAAGAAAATACAAGAACAAAATAACAAAATAACTGAAAAAGTAGAAATGATTTTAATTCTACAGATAGAAATTCAGAAGATTAATACTAAATTTTCAGAAATAGATAACACACTGAAAGGGCAAAGGAGTAAAATTGATGCAAGAGAAGACAGAATTAATGAGATTGAAGACAAATACTTGAATACTTCTTTGGAAATGGATCAGTCAGAAAAAAGATCAAAACAAAATGAAGAAAGCCTGAGGTTCATGTAGGATACCATCAAAAGGAATAACCCTACGTGTCACTGGAATTCCACAACAGGAAAAGAAAGATAAAACCACTGAGAAAATTGTCCAAGATTTGTTGGAGGAGAACTTCCCTGATATTATGAAAGATGAGAATATATCCATTCAGGAAGTCCAACGAACCTCAAACAGGACAGACCCCAAAAGACACCATCAAACTCATCAAAAACAAAGACAAATAAAGAATTCTCAAAGCAGCATGGGAAAAAAAAAATTACTTACAAAGGACAACCAGTAAGAATAAGCTCTGATTTATCAGCAGAAACCATGTAAGCGAGAAGGCAATAGGATGGTATATATAAAGCCCTGAAAGAGAAAAATTATCAACAAAGAATTATATTCCCAGCAAAAGTATCACTCTAATACGTGGTGAAATTAAGAGATTTCCAGTTAGGCAGAAACCAAGGGAATGTGTTAAACCGAGACCAACCTTACAAGAGATACTAAAATCAGTCTGTTGAACAGGGAACCAAAAATAGCAAATAACAACTGACCATTAATACACAAGATGTCATAATCCAGAAACCACACCTATGGGCATATCCAAAGTAAAGTAAGCTTACAAGATTGTAACAGGGAACCAGAGATATCAATTGGCAAATGAGGAAACTACAAACAAAGAGAGGGAAAATACTGTGTAGTTACAGAACTTCTAAATGGTGAGGAAGTTAAGAGAGTTGCAAGAAAGAATGGAATACTCCAATCTCAGGGAGAAAATTATAAATCACAGGGTTAACATAAAAATAATAATAAACCTTCACATCACAATAAAAAAGAGGACAAGCACAAATATTCACCAAATACTAAAACAACAGCAACAAAGGATATGATAACACAATTCATAAACATAATGAGCTCAGTACAGAAAATAATGGAACAAAGAAAACAGGGGCACCATGAAAAACTACATAACAAAATGACAGCAACCAATTCATACTTGTCGATAATTACACTCAATGTTAATGGATTAAATGAACCACTCATGAGACGGAGAGTTGTACATTGGATAAGAAAACAAAATCCATCAAAATATGCTGTCTACAAGAGCCACATCTTACACAAAAAGACAAAAATAGACTAAAAATCAAAGGCTAGAAATAGATAATATCAAGCAAAAAGCAACCGTAAAAAAGCAGGAGTGGCAATATTAATTTCTGATCACAATGACTTAAAAACCACCATACGAGACAAGGAAGGATATTATATAATGCTTAAAGGATCGATTGAACATGAAGATATAACCATAATAAATATTTATGGACCCAATGAAAGAGCCCCAAAATATATAAATCAGACTTTAAAAGAGTTGAAAA